AATAAAATATTTTACGACTCTCGTTACATTTAAACAGCTAATTCACCCTTAATTAATTGAAAGTAAACAAAACGACCGCGCCCGCTTTTTGGAAGTCATTAAAACCATAGAGTTTTTTTGCGAGGGTAATAGACACCCTAAATTAATATAAAACATTATTAAGGGACCATAACTTATTTAATTATATGACGTAAATAATAATATAATTAACCGAAAGTGAGAATGATTGTTTGATACTATTTTCATGTTTGTTAGCTCTTGGAACGGAGTAGGATATAGACTACGAAGCATTATTACACCAAGCAGACGAAGTAAGGGGTAAAAGCTACAGCCCTAAATCTATAGGTACGTAGTAGAAAAGAATATGTCAAGAAAATTATCATATTTATCAATACACGCGGGTTCAGATAAAAAGTTGCTTAACCAATGTACAATATGTAATATGTATAATATAATAATAAATCTTCATTGAAATATTAATATATTTATTGCAATATATTTTATTAAGAAGGAATTCTTTCAGTATTTTATCAAATTGTCTATCTCGAACGGCTGTTAATGAATTTGTGTTAAATGATTGTAAGCCCTCATAGCCATGTAGTATGAACCGTTTTCATAAAGTGCGAGATGAGGTGTAAGCAGGATTAAGTCATTTACGCGACGAGTGACAAAACGCTGTGGCTCATCACAGATTTTTTAAAAATAATGCGGAAGTTTTCTTACAAAACGACACAACTCAAAAATGTATACACAAGTTACTGTGAGTATTTTGTATTCAGCAAAAAAATGTTGACAGTGACAGAAGCAGTGAGTGCTATTAATTCAACGCTTCTGAAGAATTATTATAGATTTTATATCTGATGAGTTGCCCTAATATGCCGTATCTTATCCAGACTGCAGCATGCCTATAGAATGCGGTGAGGGCGCATATTTCGTTTATATTTTTTCGTAATTCTCGTTATACATATGAAAATCGGCACACTTTGTAGATAGAAAGTGCGCTACGAATAAAACCCTTAACACAATCGTGGTGACCGTAATAACAAGTACGGCTCTCAAAAACGCACATTCGCGAACATTTTCCATCTCATTTCATCTCCAGTCGTTCTAAATTTATTACACGACCCTAATGCAATGATATGTTAGCTATATTGGAATCCCGAGTAATAAAAATCCCACAAAGAGCGGGTTACGAGTCCAATAACGACTATTTGATAAAAATAAACGATCCAATAATCGTGATATACAGAGCAATTAAAGTCGATAAAAAATTCCGCAGTCGGTAGGATTCGAACCTACGCTCCCAGAGGGAATCTGATTTCTAGTCAGACGCCTTAACCGCTCGGCCACGACTGCCCGCCAAATTAATTATTAAATTAATACTACTTTCAATAAACATATAAAATACAAAAAAATATATCATTCTATAGCATTCAGCTGTATAAATATATATTGCAAAGTTAATTAAAATGTAAAGTTTATGCTACATTAATAATTAATTTGTTAAACAAATATATCTTACTAATATTATAAACGCTAAAGTTTGTGAGTATGGATGTTTGCTATTTTTTCACGCAAAAACTACAGAACGGATTTTGATGTAACTTTACAATAATAAAGCGTATACATCAGAACAACACATAGGCTACAATTTAAAAATTTATTACTATATAAATTGGGCGAAATATGATAATAAATGTCAAGTAAGTGTGATGCAGACGAAGTTGAGCGGATCAGCTAGTACTAAGTAATTAAGCAATTCTCTAGATGACATTCAGCCTATTCAAATGAAAATTGGAGTGTCTATTTGAAGTATCTAATTAACAAAAGTTTCCTAAATGCATATGAAAATCTATAAGGTAATAATGTTTAAAATTCCGTATGCCTGTCTGTGTGTTTGTTCTTGCTAATCTGAAACTACCGGACCGATTTCGACGGTCCAGTCATTTATAACGACCGACAAAATACAAAAAAATATTACCCATACCCACATAGACTGAATTAGACAAAACTTAAACTTTTTGTACAATTAGTTTCACAAGGCAGTATGAAACTAATTGCAAAGGAGAGAAGAGAAATTTCTAATCTGCAATAATCTATAGTCCCCGAGCTAGTGACAAATTTCGTTAATAATTTCCAGTACTCCAGTCTGATCACGAGTGGCACTGTATGACCATTACTAAAATATTGGAAACTAAATAGGAAGACTTCGTATCGGTTACGATACAAATCTCTGGACAAATGGATTCGCAGATGTAGTCGTTTCAGAAATAACCACATTGGACAACGCAACATTACTCCCACGTTACAACTCTTATTACTTATAATAATACTAACTGCTCGCTCGATCTCACACGAGTATGTAACAAAATTTATAAATTTTCACACACAAATATAGCATATACATCCTTCAATATTGATGTCCTTTATAAAACTGTAGTACATCACTTTGCTACATAGTCGATAATTTCTGCAGCGTACGCGATATAATGATTTTTTTTTTTGTATTTTTTCTCAAGTCGGCTGACCTTATAAGCATTCATACGTTCTTGAAAATATTCTATCGTCCATATTCTATGTTCATCGGGGATTTTTATCGTACACAAATTTAGTATTTATAGTTGCTAAGATGTAATGATAAAATAATTTTTCAAATCGGTCCAGTACTTTCGGAGCCTCTTCAATACAAACAAACTAACAATGAAATATTTCCTCTTAATAATAATATTACTGTATAATCTGTATTATTATAGAATATAATAGAAAATCATTTCAAATAAACTTACATGGAACCAATTTTGAATAATCCTCACATTTTTTTTTTTCAATCTTGGTTCCGCTCATTCGGAAAGCTGTCTCATCACAAGAATGGGCTTAGAACCTTGCGTGTTGATCTATTATATAATTTTGCTGTTACTTTACAGTTTTAAGTTGACGTGTAAATACAAACTACTATTAAGACTTATATATAATTATTTGAAGATATAATCACATTTCGTGACAAATATTTATTTTATTAGCTACTTAGGTACCTTCTTACTTTAGTCGTAGCGATTTTACTGATTAATTAGTTCTTTTAGCTACATCAACTACACTGATGTGTTGTAAATATGACATAATTAAGTAATAATTGCTATGAACGGTAATAAATACTTATATAATATATATTTTATGTCTTAGTAAGTTACAAGTTACAAGGTAAATGTACCTAGTACGTAAAATCGTCAGAATCAGTACAAGCGCACTAAGATTACGCAATATTTCCATATTTGTATAATCTACATTATGCAGAAAATATATATATGATTTTGTATAATGATTTTAATAAGTAATTAGACAGTAGACCAAATCATATATATATTTTTTACCCAGGGTGCAAAGCATGAGGGCCACCCGGGCGCTAGATTGTGGGGAATGTAACCCCCTAAAGCTAAGAAACATTGTCAAGTTCATATGTATTTCCATGAAAGTTTGTAAAGTATAGCAGTTGCATTTAATTATTAAAATAAATTACCTAATTGACCATTTAATATACGTAATTATATTATTTAATAAAACATATAACTGCAATCTATTCAAATCTCTTCAATTGCTATTTTGTTAATAAGTGTCATGATAAAAATACCTTCAAATAAAATTTTATAGACAAAAAAGTTACGTTGAAAGAGATAAAGATTGATTATATTCTCAATGTTGTTTGTCGACCAAAGGAAACGAAAACAGAACCGAACTCAATGTTTTTTTGCGGGACGAATTCCAGAATTAGTGTAAAAAAAATATTGTAGTTAAAAATTAAATTTAGAATCTTCCATACTTTCAATAACACTAATGTCTATGATAACGATAATATTATATAATGATACGATTGTTAATTTAATTTACAGGCAGGTAACTCGTAATAATATTCGAACCTTTAATTTAAAACAGCCGAGTCCTATCAATATTCATCACAATATTTGTTAATCAATTAGTAATGTTATCCTTATCTAAAATTTTATGATAAAGCACCCCACTTCAGAGGTTGATGTGTACGTACAGATTATGTACCGCAATTTCGAATAGACCCACAGTTGGCGCCGTGGCTTAGTTGGTTAAAGCGCCTGTCTAGTAAACAGGAGATCGCGAGTTCGAATCTCGCCGGGGCCTAGTCGTTGTTGCTTTTTCGACAATCCATTTTTTTATAAACAGTATATATTTACCTTTAGATTTCTTACTATGAACGTCACCAAAGATTGCTAAATTGTCCGTTAACAAAACAATCACCAGTTTTACAACCTTTTTGATGTTTTTTTTTTTGTTTTAATCAATCACGGGAACTATATATATAGTTGACGTTCCTACTTGTACAAGCTCATTTGAAAATAATGAGAGCCAAGTTTCTTGTCAGTTCTTCTCAGCTAGTAATCACTCCGAACTGACGGTAGATTTTTACAAAGTATAAGATTATGTAATAGACCTAAATAAATAAAGATATTTTGATTTTGACGTATATTAATTATCATAAGTGAAGTAGTTTTTAAAGAAAATATTTTGTTTCTTATAATATTCTCAATTAAGTTTTTTCGTCTGGTAAGTAAACTATATTTTCATTAAAATAAAAGCGAGTCTATTAATTTTTTGACCATTTTTAATTATAATGGTTAATATGATAAGGTATAGGTAATAATTAAAATAATGGAATAGGTATAATCACTCATATATTCACATTTCTGAGTCATATTATTTACAAATGTACAAACATTACAATAATTGCCCTAAATGCCTCTTAGATATGGCAAAAAAAAGCAAGTTGAAGTTATAACAAAAAACACAAAGCAAGTAAACTTTAAGAATTTTATTTTAGGGGCTCAGTACACTATCATGGAAATATGATCATATTATTTTTTATTCATCATTTAAGAGCCGCACTCTTGTGTGGCTCTTAATGTGAATGTGATACTTAAAATCGTAAATTGAAAACAAATGTTGAATATAGTTAAATTAAATGAGTACTATAATAAAAAATACTACGTCATTGAAATTTCTTTGCTAACTTACATGAGTAACATGTATGATCCTAATGCATGACAGTGCAATAAGGCCTTTAAATAACAACAAAAAACATATTTGTGTAAGCAATACTGGTCTATTTGGTATAAGGTTACTGTGTACACCGAAACATAACTTGTTATAACCAAGTTTTATTGTAGTTTTTAGTACATCGGTAGTTCAGCATGCGGTACTTTCCCGGTTTCACTATACTAATATTATATACAATATAATGGAATAAACTCAAATGTTAAAACTGGGAAATAATGCTACATAAACTACCAACCAACGAGTATTAATTTGAGTATAGAAACCAGTACTTAGGACACAGAAAAAAGTGTACTCAACCACAGATTAAAATAAAAGCTACTTTCTACATTAGTATGTAGTTCAGGTAAATGCTGAAACGTATTATCTGAAGTGTATAATCACATTTTATCTAAAGTTAACAGAGTAGGTATTCTGTGCAAACATTAATAAAGCAGAATAGACTGCACACTAAAATTTTCTATGGTTATTATTACACTATTATATACGAATATAAAAGTCAATACTACGAAAAATGATCTCTACAAGATAAATATTATTTTATAAAATAGTATCTTGAATTGGTATTTTCGTTACTAAATAAATGCACAAATTAATCATACATATATATGACAGTGTAATAAGCCCTAAAACGAATATTCATTACTAACGCATGGTATGTTAGTATTGATTTGATCAATTTCCAATGGATACATGTCTTCATCATACCTGGATAATAATTTTATTACTCGTATGTAAAATTAATAAATTGATGCTGTAATCAATGCAATCAATCACTTTATTATAATTAAACATTTATAAACATTTAATTCTTTCATAAAATCTGAGGCACATTCAATATACGTATATTTATCATACAATACATCACATAGATATTACTATTATATACATTTTCTCTTATATCTAATATGGCAGTACTGAGGTTTCGAACAATAATTACAATACTCTATGCGGCTGACACATGCTCTCAATAGATCGTCTGAGTCATATGTAACAAACACAAATGTTGTTTCTGATGAATATTAAATAAACATACAATTTCTGACGAAAACTTTACATTATTTTTTATGAAATTGAAATGGCGAACTGTCTGGTTTACCTAATGGAAAGTCGTAAATATGGCGTATATATATATGAACTAAACATCTATGTATGTTCTCTCCAATATAAATTAATTAGTTACAATAAATAACTTCTGATAAATTTGTTTACTGTCATAACTGTTACACGTTATTGTTAGACAGATTAAATTAATTGTATTAATTAATTGAATTTTATTATCGTAACTTATAACAGCAGGCACATTGTCCGATAAATACAATGAGATCACCAGTTGGTTTAGAAGTTTCCAGAACAAAGTTTCGTTATTGCACTATCTACTAAATGATAAAGGATCTACTTAGTAAATAGTACATATACAGCAACTTTTTAAAATTATAGATGTTATAAAAACGGATGACTAAATGTTCGTTTCAGAATTTGTAAAATTATTGACAAATAAACACATAGATGTACAAGTTAAACCGTATTGGGTATGATGGAATCGAACTCACTCCGGTGAGAAATGTAAGTCCAATTCTATAGGGAATCCTGTAAACCATTACTTAATTCCCCATGGTAGACTAACTGACTAAAGTTTATTCTCAATCTCTTGTAGTTTTACATTGTTACTCTATAGAAATATTTATTACCGCAGACAAAATCGCCATTACATCATCTTCGCAACTCACACACCACCGTTTCTCCCAAAAATCAAGTCGCAAAACATGTTAAAAAATCGTCTTCATGTATACATCGGTTATTTAAACACTATTGTTAGAGAAAACACATATTCACCGAAAACAACACTTCTATTGTATATCACGAGTACAGTAGACGATGCACCAGAAAATGTGTCAACTGCATTAAAATAAAAATTTAAATAATTTACAAATCAATAAACACTTATAAAAATCAGTCTCTTTATGGGATTACGTTTCTTTTTAATTAACAAACATTCACGATCACTTAAACGCAATGCGAGTCTTGTGCCGTTAATAATAAGGCCTCTTTTATATTTTCGCACAGTTCGTATGTCCGCATTATTCACTATAATTATTGTCGTCTTTGGGATGTCTTTTTAAGATAGTCGATTGGGAATGATTTAGACGAATCTAGTTAATTGTGTATGGAAGTCTCGTAGGAAGATTTGTAGTTGTGGTAAAGTGGGTCGGTCATCGGGTGACATCGCCCAACAGTACGCCATCACAGCAAATCTGTGGAAGAAACATAACGTTAATATCATCAATATAAACGAGAGACATATTCAAATAGAGATCTTAAGAAGTCATAGGTATCCTTTAGATATCATACACCAATTAATTAATCATGTAGTATAATATACGAGGTATATCGATTTAAGGTTTTAATCTGTTTTTAATTCTATAATTTTATAGAATCTTACATTGATTAATTAATTGGACAATTCCAGCTACAACAAAGATGTAATGTCCTTACAAGCAGTTCGAATCGAAATAAGAAATTAATTTAGGGATCAGTAATCGATAAAAAATGAAGAATATTTGTTGTTCAGTTACATTATTAAAATAGATACTAAAATATTCTGCATGTACTTGTTAAATATATAATTATCCGGACAATTATCGATATTAAAGATATAAATACTTACAATTCATCAGGACAATTGGCAGGTTGCTGCAACCGATAACCATCCCTCAAATAGGCGGCTACTTCGAAGGGATCCACCTCTGCATACGGTTGATGAGCCAAAGTAGTCAACTCCCATAATAACACACCCAAAGCCCAAACATCAGCTGCAGGACTGAACTGGCGTTTGCTCAGGGACTCTAAAGCTAGCCATTTTATAGGCCTGTTTTCATTGTCACCTAAACAATGGTAGTCTGCGGGGAACAGATCCCGCGATAAGGCGTTGTCGGCTATCATTACTCGTAGATTTTCGTCCACACTGTTGACAACATTGGTATAATTTAAAATTGTGTTCCCATTTACTACATTGCAAAAGAAAAGGATGTATCTGGTTTAGTTGATTGATATATTCATGTAATTATTAAAATATATGAAATATTATTAGAGTATTAATGACGCCTCCTTCTCCAAAAACTATATAAAAAAACCTACAACTACATTAGAATATATAATCTGAATCTATATATACAATATGTAATCTGAAACTTACATGCAATTTCTTGCAGCGATGTCTTTGTGTAAAACATGTTGTGAATGTAGGTACGACAGCCCATCTAAAGCATGTAGTGCCATCCGAACCACATGTTGTGTCGTCAGGGGAGGTGGAGGTGGTGCACCAGCAGTAGCTCCCCCAACTGTAACTCCTCGACAAGCCAAGAGGAACTGCTTCAGATTTCGCCAACTATTGTTCCAAGGATAAAGTAAGAATGGAGCTGTTTGATCTTCTATACTGACGCCCAAAACGGACAAAACCCGTTCGTGATGCAATCCATACAGCATGCATCCTTCTTGAAGAAGCAATGAAACCTAAAAGGAAAAAAAATTACGTTTACATAAAGACTTTTATACATTTCTAAATAATTATCATCACGTTATAAGTACGCAAATAAAAAATCATATTAGTTTATTACAAATATTACCTGCACTTGTGATGCATGTTCAGCAACAGTTTTCACCAGCACCTCTTGTTCTCTCCCATCTTCGTCTGCGTACGTCCCTTTATATACCCGACCAAAGGTTCCCTCCATCGCTACTGACCGCAGTCTGACTCGGCATCTCTGTATTGTCAGTTCAGCTATCCTTTGCTGGAGATCTCTTGCTCTCTCTTCAGCTGCTGCTGCCGCTGGTACAGACGTAGGACGACGGTAACTAGTATAACTGGCGGCAGATTTGCATGATGAATCTGGCAAGAATGCGTGAGCATCTTGTTCATCGCTGCGTGCCCTTCTCAGTTTCCTGGCACGAGCTCTACAAGCTACTGCAGCGATTGCAGCTATTAAAAGTGCGCCTCCAGCACAACCAGCTCCAGCGTAAAATATATCCGCTGAGGTAGAAGCATGCGAGATACTGTCAACTCTAACGGCAGGCCTTCGTGCTTCCTTTAGACAGATCTTGCGTCGCCGGAAGTGCAAAGTAGTGGAAGAGGAACCAGTAGACACATTGAGCATTATGTTGAGTTCTACTTCAGCGGCTACAGTACGTGTACAGGGCAAATCCACTCGCCATGTAGTCGGTTCTATAGGTACCATGCCCTCCGTTGATATATTGGGACGTACACCAGGTAGGTCCATTGCTTCAGGATGAGATACCACTTGAACATCTATCTTGTACGGTAACTGCAACAAAATAATAATATTTAATATCTCATTTACGTTATGACCCCTTGAGTATGTTTCATGTGGTGCAATTCTAACGGTACCGTATCATCACGATGTAACTGTTAACATGTGCAATCGACGGACAACGGCACGCACGCGGTCCCTAAACGGCCACATGAATCCACGAACGTGGCAGTGCCGTCAGTGGGATCAAATGTCGAATGCAACCCACTTTGAGAGCACGATCTTCGCTCCATAACCGTATGAAGGGGCAGTCGGGAGTACACATATTAGTACGGTCACAAATAAGGTACCGATATTTACATCAACGTATCCGTATAGGTTTTAGACAGTCTCTTGATTTGGATCATTATGAGGAATCGATTAATTCCATCGTTACATTCTACCTAAGCATCGGAGTTGGAAATTAACAATCATTATGCATTCTAGTCATTATGATAATGTAACCCTAATTATAATTTCAGTAATCACAAGGCGGCATGTGGCATAACATGAATGTAAAACAAACTGCATTCGCGGCGGTCCCTTTGGTCGGTTGATTGTACTGGCGTACAGGAGTATCGCAGCTCATAAAACACGTAGGTGCCACAGCGTGCACGCTAATTATATATTATCACTCGGCAGTCGGTGAGTACAGACAATGGTGGCGCGATCGCTCATCGGCGCTAGTTAACCGGTTACCAAATATTTGCTCTAGTCAAAGATGCCGACAGGCAAATAAGGGAGTAGATGATAGAGGAAGGGGCGCCCGGCAATCAGATAGCACCGGCCGGCACAAAGCTCGCCGAGATGCTGATAAGACTTGTGCGGTGATCGCACCACCAATCTTTCCACATCTTGTATCTATTTGCTTTCGCGACGGCAACTTGTAAGACCAAATTCACGAATCGAAATACAACTTTCAAAGCGGCATACAATTTAAAGAACGCCTTTAAAAACATGGATTAGGAATATAGGTTCACCATGTTTGTTTACGGTCTTACTTTTATTCAGAAATATTTTTAAAACACTTTAATAAAATAAATAAATAAGAAACTATTAGAAACGACATTATTTAGTAATACATTAGTAACTTATTTATTTCATATATTTCCAACATAAGAAACACAAACACAAACATCCTATCCGAGTTTTATCTGAATAACTATATTTAAATTAATGTAGTATGAGGACGCGTGTATTGTCGAGTTGCTCTTATGACTTGCTAATACAGCCCTAAATAAGCAGATGTCTTATTGACAAGTTCAGTGAACTTGTTTGCGAGTTTTGCGCTACGTTTATATTTACATATAAAGAAGAAGAATTTATATTAGCTCGGAAAACCATAAACAGATTTATCTTTTTATGTCATAAATACACAAATGCACACATTTATTTAGTTGGGAAAATTTAAACCAGATTAGATTAACTATGTTGTCAATATCAAAATCAAGAACTTTAATAAAAGTAAAGATTTCCAGGAGCTAGATTATACAGTAATATTGTTGCAATTAATTCATAAGAATTGATTCGTACATAGTGAAATTGATACTTTAGCTATAAATCGTTTTAGTTGCAGCTGTGAGCCGAAATTGTACTTGGTTTACACCAATCAATAACCACAAGTGACCATGTCTATATCATGGTAATGATAAATTATTGTCATTGCATTACATAATGAGGTTAGATAATAAATCAAAGGTTAAAAATAAAACTCGGTACCTGGCAAAATTATCAGCATTCATGGTAACGTTATCATTATTTTCATAGATATAAGAGTTCAGATAGGATCTGCAATATTTCCATAAGAATTACATGTTTGTGTTGTTTGCGGAGTTCGGGGTAAACAAACTTTCCAGCCACCAAATTGGTAAATAAACTTGTTCCCCTAAGTTATACATTACATTTTTTATTATAAACTCTTGTGCATGTTACTTTATTCCGCAGACTATGTTATCGTTGCAAGCTTGTTAAATGGTCCAAGGATACCGATATCTATTGGTTAGTACGATGGGCACTGTCCTAATTTGCATTCTATCCATATGAGACATTACCATAATGGCGCGATTGTTTCAGTAAATCGATTGTTCAATTTAAAACCAGTCTTATACAAGATTAGACTTTTAAATGTGTCCATCACTGTCGACAGTAGCTTTACAAAGATTATGAAGGTATTTTAAGTCTCAACGTATACAAAAATTCATTATTCATTAAACATCAAAATTGTATTTTAATGTATTAATCCTGGCGTCCTATTTACTATTGCAAACATCGGCTCCTTACTTATGTACAATTGTACATAAACTAGACATATCACATTTTATCAATTTTGAAATTATGCCCATACAAATGCGAAATTGTAATTCTTAGCAGGATTGACACTAAGTGCTAAGTATTTGACCTTATCTACTTGTTTTATCCAAACACACTCTATTAAACATAGTGACATTCAGATAATATGCTAAGTATCTACATATATTAAATTCCATCTTCATGTTACGAGAATATTGTCACACTTCGTAGAAATGAATCAACACCTTCATGCAACTCGTATATATTTTATAAATATATTATCTGCATTAATAAAACTATTATTTTATTTTCATCGTAACTTGTCTACATTCAATTCATATTAGTAAATGTATTTTTTTTAGAAAAGAGAGGATAGTACCGAGCAATGCTCAAAAATACTGTGTCAGGTTGACCTTCATTAGGCTCCTGGAAATCATAGTTGTTTATTTACGATGGGCTAAGTGACCTAACCTCATGCTCATATTTTCATCCACTTTTGATGTTGCCAGCGTGCAAGTATACCAGTATACGCAAGCGTGTATGCATACCTTTCCATTATCACCCATTAAAAAAATTTTTTTTTTTTTATTGGATTGTTTGGGCTATTGTCAGATGTGTAGCACCTGTAGCACTGCGACCTACATAGATCTATTGTGCTCGCCCTTTTCAGAGTTCGCTACCTAGACCCGTCAGGGACAAGAATTGAAGGATATTCTTAGGAGCGATCGTTTTTATCTCCTCGGGAAAGAGTGTAAACTTTCCAAAGGAGATATTTCGATTATGCATGAGTGGGCATTAAAAACATTACTTATACATTCATCTTAACTATATCAAGAAAATAGTGTACTTACAGGTCTTCTGGTGAGACTTTGCCAGGTAAAATGCAACTCTTCGATGGTCGCAGGTACCGGCACCACAAAATTGAGCGCGTAGAAATTTATTAGGCCATCTCTCACGTAATACAGTTCTGCTGTTAGACCTATGGACAAAACAGAATTCTTGTTAGTTTTTTTTAAACGGGTCGTTCTCTATTCAGTGCTACAAAAGGGGGAGTTTCTGTATTCGGCGGTCTTACGAGATATCGTCGTTAAAGTTGAACTGATTTTAATGACGCTTTTTGCGATCTACAGACTTTATTGCCGTGTTGATACCGTATTATTTTTGTGTGGATTGATAGAATAATTTCACATAAATATCAGGAAAATTGGACTTACTAAATACTTTAGAAGAATTCAGGTAATGATAATCAGCGCTTACAAGATATATAATTCTAAACCAATGTGTTATATTAACTAACTTATTTCCAAATTAATTCTCTGATTTCACATCTATTAACATAACAAATTAAAATGAACACAGGTACTATTTTGAAACAAAGTATAAGTAGTTTCTTTGAAGTACAGGAAAGTAAAAAAATCATAACTTTTACAATGGTTTTACACACCCAGTATTATATTTACAATGTTCTAGTATTGTGTAACGCGACGCCAACCAGTCTACCAGACCTGACATATTCAGACAAAAATTTGATAGGTTCCTGTGTAAACTGCAACCGATCTATTGAAGCAGCGTTCACAAATCAATACACGCATCAATAACATAATACGACTGCCGGCAGAAAGAATCGCACGCGCACAATACGCGGCAACTTCAAAGCACTAAGCACAAAGATGCCGCAATCCTACGCCACCGCCACCTGCCCACAAATCATGGGAACTAACAAAAAAAAATTATATTACTTACGCTCAATAAACTTCGAACGGTCGTAAACGCCAATATTAAAGAAATTATTAGAGCACTAAAATTCATTATTGGATCTCGTTATTATGAACCGTAAATCTATTAATAAATATGTTCATATTCCTTTGAGTATTCTGCTTTATCTTAAAGAAATAGTTTTTTTTTATAATACTAACTTCGTCCTAAGGTTTTATTTAGAGATAGGTATTCCATGAGCTAATCTATTCAAAGATAATGATTACAGATTAATATCTTTGTCTGTGATGTTCCAAATTAATTTAAATCTGTCCAGTTGGTTGTAAAGATTCCTTCATGATCGAGTAAGAAACAATAAAATAACACTATATATACATTACTAACTTTTTCATATATATTACTAAAAAATAGTACAAGTACCTAAAGGATATCTCTTCTCGTGATTTTAATTACACATGGTAAAACAAAATTTTGTATGTTATGCGTAATTAAATTAATGAATAGACAAAAATACACTTTAGTCATAGACAGACGCACAGACTACTATTTGAAACTATTTTGTACGTACTGTGTTACAGACAAACCCAAAGTAAGCTAAAATTACAAAGCAAATTACTTTTCAAATGTAAGATAGTTCTAATCATTTCGTGTCGTAATTTTAATGGTTCAAAATTGCAACCTAACAAAACTCCTTAACAAAAAATAAATAAACCTCATCTTGATAAAGTTCTATACCAAGACAATAAAATAAACCAGAGAATTGTTGTAAAATTGTCTGACAATACAGTAGGTAATACAGTAGTTGTAAAACTTTACAATATAATAAAAGAGTATTACAGTAATAAGTAGTTAGTAAAACAATAAAAATATCACGGTTGTATTGCTATTTGGTTCTAATAATTCTAAGCTATGTATATGATTAGACTTATTAACAATATGATTAAGCCGCCGAAGTCGCATTTTAGAGTCGTTATTTTTTTATATATAATATAATTATTTTGTTTGCATCCATAATAACACCAACTACATCAATAACCATGTAATTTATCGAATTATTCCATTATTAATTATAAGTATAAATTAAAAACTAATATGCACAATATATTATTCATTTATATGATTGCGTCATCATGAAATACTGTGGTTATGGTTTAGGTACACGACGTCATTATTAGTTGTCGTCGTCTGACATACATATATTTATTTAATTACATACGCGAAAAAATATATTTCCACTATACATGTCTTGACCGATACAAGTAGGTAAACTCTAATTTCAAGATAAAAAGAATTAGTTATTTCCGTATCACTTACTATTAATCCATCGAGGATAATAAGTAAATCAATTTGAAATTGGAATACTTGTACACGTTTTTCTTTAATATTCCACGATCGTCAGTACACAGAAATAAAATATAAAGCTATTAAAAACAACTACTTTTATGTTCGTTTTCTAATACAGGCCGTAAATATTTAAATATTGTGACCGGTCGCACATAAATATGGAAACAGGATCCCCGTTACTGTCCGCCTGGCCATTACGACGCTGTTATTAACACTATAATCATAAAATATAAATATCTTATCTAAATATGTTTGTACAGTATCCACCATTACACTCACATGCAAATGAGTGCCGAAACGGTCGCGAGTGTGACTAAATTAATAATTTTGACGCTGTTTAACGGCCGTTTGTTTATTCAAGACGAGGTACAGCTATTAACAGCTAACGAGTTACAATATTATAGGCATTGATATATCTACATTGGCATTTATTGGAATGGCAAACAATCTGATCGCCCTTCTGGTGATGGCAACTGCCGACTGAGACATCCGCCAGAGACAGACACCTTTCAATATTGTTATTCGGGAGGACCTAGATGACATGAAACAAATCAAGTGACAAATACTATTCAGTGTATAATGACACATGAGTTAGGATATTTTTTATTTGCACTGCTTTCTTTTTAATAGAAACTTAGGAGCAAAGAAAGTGTGTTTGGGAAATAAACATATGTGTAGGAGAGGCGGATTGCAGACAGATTGTCATGGGGACTGGTAGTGATTTATTGCACCAGAAACTTATAGTAATGTCTAATTTTGGTATGGCAAAAAAACTAAATAGTTTGGGTATAGGCAACTCATGTATAATTATGATAGATCTATAGTATAGATAATGTTTATTGTTTAATGTCACTACAATAAAAAAAATAACAACATATTTTTATTTTTATGTTATCTATTATTTTTATTAGCTATTTTGTTAGAAATTTGATGGTCCAACCATTTCAGGTTACATAAATACATGTCGCTTAAGATAATAATGTCAAGGAAATCTCAAGAACTTTGTTAATAAATTGATTCTAAGAATTCATAATCTTGATCTGGTTAATACTTAACGAGCGCCTATAAACATGGAAGTTTGTGCTGCACGAAATTCACCTACGAATTTTGATGAGGCAATAAAGATGGGACATACAGAGAGTTAAGAGTTCCGTTACATTCCCACTATAGTTAGTAAGTGGTCGCAGGACTCCGCTACTGTACACGGCGGTGCCTTTGATGCGGCGAAACCAAAGACTCTTAATCTTAATACGACAAATAACACAAGATACGAGTAACAAACGCCTACACTGGCGCCCATTTTTTATTTTTCTAATTTCTTAAAACGCTACCGGCGTTTAAGTGCCTTATCGCAAATTGACTTAAAATGCGGTTAGGTATAGCGGCAAGATCATAAAAAACGCGGCTATAATTTCATAAGTTGAAGAGAGATAATTACAAACATAAAAAAATAATAAAATTAATTTGTTTTTCATAAAACTTAACATGTTTGAGATGTCGATCAAATATCCCTAAATAATAACGAAAGAATAAAAAATACGGTTACAAATAATAAGCTTTGGTATATTTTTTATATATAGATTTCTTTGTCCTTTACAGAACCCAAATATAAAACAAGTACAATGCATACCTACGATTAAATATCGCGCGAATCGCTTGTACTCTTATTGACGTATTCTACATTCGCACCTTCGAATAAAGCTTTCATTACATTCGTACAAAAACCCATTTGTAAGGAATAAAATAGAGCGTCGAACAATAGCCGCTGATATTTCGTATAGAAAGTTCCCCTTCGAAGCAATGGATATAAGGATTTTAGGGCACAACAGAGGCATTATTGTGGAATTATGCGGAGGAGGCGTGCAAGAAAATAAAACAAAATGCAGAGGTGTCGGCGGAATAATCGCTCGGAGTTATGCACTTCAGTCAACTGGGGGTACGGCCGCGACTACACATCTATGTCTACATACATATATTTAGATATAGATATGTGACGACAACACATTTATTGCACATTTTACTATATCGGTATACCTGTCACTACATTCTGTTGGCTGCGAATCATGAAATGCATAAAATGAGTTTATATCTGACAACTGACAATTCAACAATTTTTACTAGGCGCTTGCTACAGGGTGAAGCGATGGCAGGAATAAAAACTATGAACCTGGTTGCTGATTATGGACAGTTGCTTTATGTTTCTTTTTAAAAAATCAGAATTACCAACCATGAGAAACCAATACCGTTACATAATGGGCCCATAATAATTATAAAATAATATTTGTTGTCTAGCTTAGAGTATTTTTAACATAATCGAATCGACATCTTCGTATCGCCAATCGCGTCGAATAAATAACATTACATTTATAGTACATACTAGTAGTATGATATTATAGATTAATTCATAACTTATTTATACGTCCCTGTTATATACTACAATTGGCGCACCAATCGTAGTATATACCAGGGACAAGAATATATTTAACATGTTTGAACTTATTTTTTCGTACGAAAGAACGCCGAACTATACGATAAAAACGTGCGCAACTATAATAGAGAGATGAATAAATATAAATAACGCAATCAGACATCGGAAACCCGCTAAATAAATAACTGTAAAATCTTACCACATCCGTAGCCGCCCGTGATAATGGTTATCATAAAATCAGTATACGATGTGTTAAGAATAGTATTGGATGCGTCGTAAAAAACTGTGTTTAGGCAGTGTCTGTTGCAGTGGAGACAGTTTTATTGGCTACTTTACCGGAAAATCATAGTCTTAATGATTGGGCCGTGCTACATTGTGTCATAGCAGTCAACGTGTGAGTATATGGCAGCTAATTGTAGTTTGTTAAGCCAAGTTACGGTTGTAGGGTTCTCATCTGTTGCTAGTTTTGCTACCAGTGCCTGTTATAGTTC